TGTGTGTGTGTGTGTGTGTGTGTGTGTGTGTGTGTGTGTGTGTGTGTATAAGACGCATCGGAGAACCATTCCTTTTTGCCGATATTTTAATTTTTATCATCATCAATGCAGGCTTTAGGGCACCCATGGAAGAGACTCTCTGCAGCTCAGGTGAACTGGGAGGTCCAGGGTGCTCTCTGAGCTTGGTGGTTTCCTGGTTTTTCCTTGCTTTCTTGCAGGTGGAGATACTGTCTTCTCATTCGTGGTTGCTTCATTAGGCTGCTGTTTACTGCTTGCTGGATTGTTTGCCAGGTGTTGCTCCCAGTGGAAACCTTTGCTACTCTGGGTGTTGGTTGCTGGTGAGGAGGTCTTTTTGACTCTTCTGGTGTGTAAGCTTGAACACTGATTTGTCAGTGTTCTAGGAACTTCTAGGAATTCCCGACTGTTTTGGGATTTAGCTTGGCTTAGGGTGCTCACAGTTTCCCAGGTGAAATTATGGTTGATTCTGTCCATGTGTTGTGAGATTAAGGACTTTATGACGTATCTTCTGAGTACTGGTTGGTGTACATGGACCTTCCTTGTTAGTATGTCCTACATAGTGGCTGTAAGAGTCTTTACAATGTTGTAGAAGCTCTTGGTTTTTTCTTCTTGGGCTGGTGGGTCTTTTGGTTTAAGATGTTTTGGAGGGCTTTGGTTGGTTTGTGTGCTACACTGATGCCCTGTGGTTGCAATAGTTTGTTTCCGAGACATTCTTGATGTATGGCAGTGTCATCCTTTTCATAGCTTGTGTTGGTTGTGCTATGTTGGGTTGAATGGTCAACATTTTTTGATAAAGTTGCACAGGTATACTTTTATTTATTTATTATGGATGGTGTTGTGTGGCTGGCCTGTCTATTGTTGCTGTTTGTAGTCATCTGAATAATGTTCTTACCTGGCTTCTCTGGTGGGAGGTTGGGTTGCCGCTTCCATTCTAGAACAGAGTTGCCAGCAATTACATCAGTTTGTCTGCCATGGAGAGTCCCTATAAGGCGTGAATCAAATTAGCTGTTTCAGTTGGTCGTCCTAGGAGGAGAATCTTCTGTGGGGGCAGAAACCAGGAGTTTGGTAGCACCTTTTTCAGACTAAATCATTTTATTAAAAGGCGGGAGCTTTCAGGAAGTGCCAGAGCTCCCTGTCTTTTGGGGGCTACCCCCCATTTTTTTTCCTGCCAAAGGACACATGGGACATTTGGGAACTTATTATGAGCTTATTCCTCTCAGTTGCTGTGTGGTTAAGCCAACCTCAAAGCATCAGGTCATCATCAGGCAAACAAGAAAGAGCACCCACTGTTTGATGTTCAAGAAGGTAGTGATACATGGTAGGAAGTCAGGCAATGCTCACCTACACATTTCAAACTGCCCCACACTGCGATTGTTATCATAAGGGAAATAATTTGTGGAAATTTTGTCAGAAACCTGGACATCATCACAGAAGGACAATTTGCTAAGGGCCTGATGAGATTTGCACGATTCATTTAATGATTATATTACTGCAATTTACTACTGTGGTTTGCTGGTCTTTAATAAAGTTTTGTTGTTGTTATTGTGGTCTGCATAAATGCTAAATTACAGCAGGCTCCAACGACAGTCGTCTGTACCAGTGGTGGGAATCAAATTTTTTTACTACCAGTTCTGTGGGCGTGGCTTGGTGGGCGTGGCAGGGGAAGGAGACTGCAAACTCTCCAGTCAGAGGTGGGATTGGCCGGTTCAACGAACTACTCAAAATTTCTGCTTGGGTTCTCCAGAACTGGTCAGAACCCGCTGAATCCCACCTCTGGTCTGTACTGAGAGCAGCCCTGTCCAAGTGGACGTTGAAGGTGCAGGGCACAGAAAATATCTTTTAGTAGTAGCTAAGGATAAGCACTCGTTGAATTCATTAAACATGAATTAGATCTGGTGGGTAAGGCACCAGGGCTAGAAAGCAGGAGACGGTGAGTTCTGGTTCCCCCTCCCCTTAGGTATGAGGGCCAGCTGGGTGACTTTGGGCCAGTCTCTCTCTCTCAAACCACGATGGCAGGCTCAGGTGACAAGGGAGTAAATCAACACCTGCTTCAACCAATGGATCGACTCTCAGTTAACCAGAAAAAAGTAGATCCCGCCCTTCTGGGAAAATGTTGGGAAAAACCCTGCAGCTTTTCATTAATTTCATGACGTGCATGAAGAAGCAGGACTAGAAGCAACAGCAACAGAAGCTACAGAATAGGGGGGGGATAAAGAAGGCCCCGTCACATCTGGACTGTTGGCAAGTGGGCCCGGAAACCCAGTTTGATCATGGCTTGAGTTCGCCAGGCCAGCCACTTTGCAGCCATGTTCTCTCGTTGCAGAACGAAGCCAAAGGCTCAGTGGAAAAATTTTCCTTTACCACATTTGGAATTCATTCTCCCCAACGATCCTCATTCAACAAGCGCTTTGTCTCCCAGAGAAGCCACGGGTGCAGCCCCGGGTGCCTGGCAGCTCAGAAACATTACCCATCCATCCATCTAAATCTGGATCCCGTTTGTGTGTTCCTGGTGGTTTGGCTAGCCTTAAAAGCAAAGTATACCTAGTAAGATTAAGGTTTCCGGTATTATACCATTCACACCGGGGGAAAAGTAAGGGCTTTTTGTTTTTCCAGCCTTATGCACCGTTTATCAAACCCCCCAGGAAGGAAGCTGTAGAAAGAGGGCGGTTAGGTTTCAATCCTTTGCTGGTACCCTGTGAGAATTCTAGCTTTAGGTACAACCTTTATGCCCTCTGTTCTGTCTGTTTCGCTAAGTATAAAGTCCCCTGCTTGGTTCTGTGCCACCCTGCTCACCTATTTTCTTTTCACACACAAACACAGATAAGTAGAAACACAAATGGGATGCTAGTGCTAGTATTGTCTACATAGCTGATTGCCATAGGTTAAAGATTTTAAAATACAGTTTTAGCAGTTTTCAAATAGCTTTAAAAATCGGTGCAGTGCTAATTTGGCTCACGTGGGACCTGCTCAAAAGCTTTCTGGGAAGAAGAAGCAAATGATGGTTGGAACTCAAATGAAAGAAACAAAATTACCAAGCACATCTAAATTATATTAAAGTAACCAAAAATTATTTACAATCCCCAAGGCCTGTCACAACTTTTGAGCACCCCTAATGTCTGGAAATTGTTTGGAAGTTGAAAAATCTGAGATGTCAAGAGTGCAGGTTGTGCAGACTTGAAAAAATTAATTCAGAAAAAATTGCTTTGAGCCTTGTGTGAGGAATGGGCAGCTCAACAAGGCAACTTTCTGCCAGTTTTCAGAGTTTTGTGGCTGAAAACTGTTGTTGCAGGAGGATGTTTATGTTCGAGTAACAACAAATGTAACTTTAAAGCAGCTGCAACATCTTGTTTTCAAACTGAAATCTGGAAAAAACGGTACAAAGCTTTAACGAATAGCAGAAGTCCAAAAACATTTCTGCAACTTACTTGTGAATTGTGCACTCCCTTTATTTGGATGTAGAAGTGGGCCAAGAGGTAATTAGAATTATAGCTACATATATAGTTGATAAAAACCTTCATCTTTTTTTGCCCCCAAATGGTTCAGAAG